AACATAATGTAGATGAAAGGAAATGGGAACTGCAAAGAAACATTACACACTTTAACCACTTGCCTACTGGACACTTATACCCCCTTCCTGCTCAGGCCAATTTTCAGATTTCAGCTCTGTCGCACTTTGAGTAACAGTTGTGCGGTCATGCAACACTGTACCCATATGATATTTTTATCATTGTTTTCACACAAATAGAGCTTTTTTTTTTTGGTGATATTTAATCACTGCTGTTTTATTTTTTGCACTATAAACAAAAAAAGAGCAACATTTGTGAAAAAAATGATGAGGCTTCACTGATAGGCAGCACTGATGGGCACTGATAGGCAGCACTGATGGGCACTGATGAGACAGCATGGATAGGCAGCACTGATGGGCACTGATAGGTGGCATTGATAGGCAGCACTGATGATGCTGCACTGATAGGTGGCACTGATGGGCAGCACTGATGGATGGCACTGCTGGGCAGCACTGATGGGTGGCACTGATAGGCATAGGTGGGTGGCACTGCTAGGCAGCACTGATGGTTGGCACTGCTGGGCACAGGTGGGTGGCACTGCTAGGCAGCAATGATGGATGGCACTGCTAGGCACAGGTGGGTGGCACTGCAGGGCACAGGTAGGTGGCGTAGGTGGCACCAGTGGGTGGCACTGCTGGGCACTGATCATCAGTGCTGATCACTTCTCTGACAATTGCCGGTTATCGGCAGTACTTTCAGCGTGAGGAAAGTGCAGACGATAACCGGCAACTGTATTTACCCGGTGATCTGCTGTGTCATTGGACACAGCTGATCACATGGTAAAAGGCCGCAGTGATTGGCCGTTTACCGTATCACGTGATCAGATGTGGCTATAGGACACAGTGATCACCGGCAGCGCCAGTGCCACTGGCGGCGCTCAGGGGGCATGTTCTGGAATGACATCCATGGACGTCATCCCAGAACCAGACAACCGCGCTGTAGCCATTCTTCGGCTATAGCGCAGTAGGGAACTGGTTAATGCAAAATTTCAACTAAAAATAACAAGATAATAAGGGAATAGCCCAATAAAGATAAAATAACAAAACCATCTTTTGCTGCAAAATTCACCACTCAATGCAGATATCTCCCCTGCAGTAATTTTTTCTGCCGTTAGATATCCTCAGTTTGATGAACAGTATCTTTCAACATACTTCCTCTGGACTCGCCCCAGTCTATGACTGGACAGTGAAAGGAGAAGCAGCACGGCTATAACTAATTTCCTAGAGCGCTGCTTGTCAGCACATGAACTGACTGGCTTGTGCTGATTCCTCTTATACCCCAGCCCTGCTGTTCAGAGACTGCAAGAGGCTGCTATGAGGCTGAAAGCAGGTACTTACACTGCTTTCTTAAAAAAAAAAACTTTGGAAATTCGGAACTTGAGCAACTTTGGAACTTGAGCAAGAAGGACATCTTGGGATGGGAGAAGAGATAAAGCAAAAAAAAAAGATTGTGTCTAAAACTGTGCTGAAAATTGAGAGTGGCCTAAAGGAACATACTGCATTCACTGAACACTTTCTGTAGTCCTTGTACTCACGAATAACTCCATAAATACTGTGCCCCCTTTCTGTCAGTGGGGGACAATAATAGGGCTCAGTGGAGTGGGGAGAAACAATAGTGATATTGGTATCAGTAGAACACTTAATGTGAACAGAAGTCTATGTCCCATGCTTCTGCTCTCTTTCTCTCCATTTCTCTCCGTTTCATTGGTACCTTACTCCTGAAACACTACAAGTTATCAGTCCAATATTACCTTCCATTTGTTGGAAATAATCTACAGGGACACTATATCAAATTTATTGGGAATGCCCAAAAATACACCCTTTTTGGGAAAATACTGGATCCCTTATGGAATCTTTTTTTGGCTTCCCCATTCCTTTGGATCCAGTCCATTTCGTATTAGGGCTTCCCTTACCAAATATAGCTAAATCGACTTGTCAAATTGATTAATCATTTGTTGCAGCTGCTAGATGTCTGACACCGTTGAAATGGAGACAACAATTACCACATTCTTGAATTGATGTTTATAAACGTATCAATAATGTTTACAATATGGAGCACTTGACCTGAAGTTCCTGGCGCTTCTTGGAACCGCATCCATACCACTGATGCTATGCTCCTGGTGCCCTGTTTGTCAGGGGTTTTGTAGAGATGTCCGGTAGGGTGGGTCTGATTCCCCGCAGATTCTTTTTTTTTCTCCCCCTCTTCCTCCCTCCTTTTTTCCTTCTTCTTTTATGTGTTTTCTTTCTTTTTACATATACAAGGTGGTTATACAATGTATGATGCAGCAAGCTTCTCATTTTCATTCTATATATGTGCATTTATACGATGACAGTCATGCTTTGATATTTTTGTCTACACGTATTTTCTCTTGGTTTTAGAATTTATACTGATAATGATATGTGGTTGATATGTTATGCTTAATTCTCTTGTTGTTATGCTACTGGTATTTGTTCTTGGATCACTGCTATATGACATGTACTGTCATTGTGCTTGTACTACTCTACTCAATCTTTGGATGGTTAATTTCATCGCACCCTGCCACTTTATGTGTTTTTTCTCTCTCTTTTATTAAAGAGAAAATGTAAAAAACAGTTGGGAAGTATGTATTCCATGTTTAACCCATGATTTCTAATCACATTTTCACTGAAATTATATCAAGAGAGTCACTGCAAAGGAATTTTATGATGAATACTGACAAATACTATAAGTAGGGATCCCACTGAAATCTGATCATTGACTTAAGAATCCAAAGTTTATCTAAAGATCATGGGACTAAACATCACAACAAGGCACTGTGAGGTGGAATTCCCTGTAGCCTGTGATTGTCAATTGTGGATAACATACACTGCTCAAAAAAATTAAAGTAACACTTTGAAAACACATCACATCTCAATGGGGAAAAATATCCTGCTGGATATCTATATAGATGATATAGATTGGGTAACATGTTAGGAATGTAAGGATGCCCCATTGTTTGATGGAAATGAAAATGATCAACCTACAGAGGACTGAATTCAAAGACACCCCGAAAATCAAAGTGAAAAAATGATGGAGCAGACTAGTCAGTTTTGCTGAAATTTCACTGCAGCAACTCAAAATGGTACTCAGCAGTTTGTATAGCCCCCACGTGCTTGTATTCATGCCTGACAATGTCAGGGCATGCTCCTAATAAGACGTTGGGCGGCGTGCTGGGGTGCAATCTGGAGTCGTCGGATGGACCAAAACCTAATATCCCAGAGGTGTTCTATTGGATTTAGGTCAGGTGAGCGTGGAGGCCATTCAAAGTATCAATTACTTCATCCTCCAGGAACTGTCTGCACACTCTCACTACATGAGGCTGGGCATTGTCATGTATCAGGAGGAACCCAGGACCCACTGCACCAATGGGTCCAAGGATTTCATCCTGATACCTAATTGCAGTCAGGGTGCCATTGTCTAGCCTGTAGAGGTCTGTGTGTCCCTCCATGAATATGCCTCCGCAGTCCATCACTGATCCACCACCAAAATGGTCATACTGAATGATATTACAGGCAGCATAATGCTTTCCATGGCTTCTCCAGACCCTTTCATGTCTGTCACATGTGAACGGTGAACCTGCTCTCATCTGTGAAAAGCACAGGGCACCAGTGGCGGACCTATCAATTCTGGTGATCAATGGCAAATGCCAATCGAGCTCTATGGCAAGCAGTAAACAGAGGGCCCACAAGAGGATATCGGGCCCTCTGGCCACCCTCATGAAATCTGTTTATGATTGTTTGGTCAGAGACATTCACACCAATGGTCTGCTGGAGCTCATTTTGTAGAGCCCTGGCAGTGCCCATCCTGTTCCTCCTTGCACAAAGGAGTAGATACCGGTCCTGCTGATGGGTTAAGGACCTTCTACAACCCTGTCCAGCTCTCCTAGAGTAACTACCTGTCTCCTGGAATCTCCTCCATGTTCCTGAGACTGTGCTGGGAGACACAGCAAGCCTTCTGGCAATGGCACGCATTGATGTGCCATCCTGAAGGAGTTGGACTGGCTGTGCAATCTCTGTAATGTCCAGGTATCACCTCATGATACCAGTAGTGACATTGACCCTAGCCAAATGCAAAACTATGAAAAACAGTCAGAAAGGATGAGTAGGGAAAAAATGTCAGTGGCCTCCACCTGTAAAACCATTCCTGTTTTGGAGGTCGTCTCATTGTTGCCCATCTAGTGCACCTGTTATAAATTTCATTAACACCAAAGCAGTGAAGCTGATTAACAACCCCCTCTGCTACTTAACTGACCAGATCAATATCCCAGGAGTTTAATTGACTTGATGCTGTACTCTGATTAAAAAGTGTTCCTTTATTTTTTTTGAGCAGTGTATATCCAGAAGGGAAGTACTTTGATCCTTTATTATGTGTTGTACAATCTCCTACATCCTGTGTAACTCGGTATAATGGAAATCGCGATGGATTCTACACACTCTTTGCCCTTTAACTATATCGCTGCGAATATGCACCCAGCATAAGGGAATTTCAGCATTTGTTCTGTTACATCTTTAACAGATCAGATTTGCAGAGGTTGAGTCATCTGTAAATGGGACAATCAGGGATATTCTACTTCAGCAGCAAAGTGCCTCTGAAATCTATTTTAAAATACCGGTTACAATGCAGTGTTCCAAAACCTCCGTTTTTAAAACGCCACTCGCTATTAAGTAATCATTTCTTTATTGCGCAGTATAAATGTAATCTTGTTATAAGATACAACACAAAAATTGCATCATCTGTGTCACACATGAAAACAAATTAGCAGTTGCACGAAGTTGGCACTCTGTCTACTTATAAATCAGTTCATTTCCTTTTACAACTTTGGCATACTCATTTGCTGAATAGTACGGCGTTCTTGGAAGGTTCGCCTGCTCGAAATCCACATGGAACAATCCAAAACGGACACTGTAGCCAGAATTCCACTCAAAGTTGTCAAGAAGGGACCAAGCAAAGTAACCTTTCACATTCACCCCCCATCCTGTTTGATGGCTGCCAACAAAAAGAGACACAATGAGTTATATATACTGTAATTAGTGTGCAATATCTTATGTTAGTGGTGGATTGCACATTAAAGCTAATTTGACAGAAGATAGATTATCAAAACCAGCACATTCAGTAGCTTCAAATAAGTTTCAAGAATTCGAGGTATGCATATTTTATACATAGTTACATGGGTCCATCTTGGATCCATGTAACTATGCATATTCCATACCTTACCATTGCCCCTGGAAGCTGCAAATCACTGAAGTAGACACCACTACATCAATGATCTCTACTAGCTTCTGGGTCCTGTGCTAAGCAGCTGCCCTGCTGCATTTTGAACATAGGAAGTTGGTTGCTTGGTATGGGTGCCATTTAGAGAATGCTTTCAAATTACTTTCCTTGAATGAAATATTCAGAAAACTCTAAAAAAAAGATTGCATTAAGCCAGCTAAAGAAGGGAACTGCTTAGGATGGAACAGTGTCTAGTAAATATAGCACTATCTGAAAAATACAAAAAAATTATTTGAATTTGCATTCTTATCTAGTTACGGAGGTAGCCTTTTAAATTTCATTTAGAGATTTAGGAGACCCTATTACAATTGTATTATGTATTCTCATTCTATTCTAATTCTCTGTATTCTCATTCTATATACAGGAAATCTTGTTTCAATTAAACATATCATAAGGGAAATACAGTTTGCTATTGCTAATATCTCTTTGAAAATGCAAGTTGCATGGCTGGTATAATACTTTCTCAAATGCCCTTAGAGTCCCTGACACAGGAAGAGTATGCAGTTTTGGAAAGTTGGAGACTTGCATTTGCAGAAGAAGTATTCCACAATATTTCACACATTACAGGTTCCCTTTACAGCAGCCCAAACATTACTCTTTGGTTTTTTTTTTTTGTTTGTTCAACCAGCAAGTTGAATGAAAAAAAATGATGCGATTTCCCCATCAACACATTCAAGGTGGATGGGGGAATCACTCCTGCTGAGCTATTGTATTCTGATGGCAGAGAGACGGAATATAGGGCGAAACCAACACAAGCACAAGGAGAAGTCCAGAGGATGGGGGAAGCCCTGGAGAAGTCCTGGAGATGGGCATGGGAGGAGGAGACCAGGGAACTAGAGAGTAGGAGGTCTTGTGAGGAATGGAGAATAGATTTTGGGTGGTATTTGGATATCAAATCGGTGATGTAGTTTGGGGCAGTGTTATGAATAGCTTTGTACATCAATGTTAGCATTTTGAATTTTATCCGTTGGGCAATTGGAAGCCAGTGGAGGGATTAGCAGAGGGGGGTGGCGGATACGGAGCGGTTAATAAGGTGGATGAGTCTGGCCACAGAATTCAGGATAGACTGAAGTGGGGATAGCCTGTGGTGAGGTAAGCCGGTGAGGAGGGAGTTACAGTAGTCAAGTCGTGATATAATAAGGGAGTGAATGAGTTGCTTAGTAGTTTTCCTGGGTTAGGAACGGACGTATTTTGGAGATGTTGCGGAGGTGGAGTCTACATGAGTTTGTCAGCGATTGGACCTGGGGCTGGAAAGACAGATTGGAGTCTAGGATGACACCTAGTACTCTGGCTTGAGGGGTGGGACTGATGGTGGTGTTGTTGGTCATGATGGAGAAGTCGGGGGGGGGGGGGCCCGGGCTGGGTTCAAAGCTAGGAGCTCGGTTTTGGAAAGGTTTAATTTGAGGAAGTGGAGTGACATCCAATCTGAGATGTCGTTCAGTAGGCTAGTGATTCGGGCAGAGACTGAAGGGGTGAGGCGAGGGGTAGAGAGATAGATTTGCGTGTCATCGGCATAGAGATGGTAGTTGAAGCTGTGAGAGTGTATCAGTTGGCCAAGGGAGGAGGTGTAGACGGAGAAGAGAAGGGCCCCGAGGACAGAACCTTGAGGGACCCCAAGAGAGAGGGGGAGTGAGGGGGAGGTGGCAGCGTTATAGGTAACACTGAAGGAGCACTGCGATAAATAGGAAGAGAGCCAGGAGAGAGCGGAGTCTCTGAGGCCAAGAGAGTATAGTTTTTTTGAGGAGGAGGGGGTGGTCAACCATGTCGAAATCCGCGGAGAGGTCGAGGAGTAGGAGCACTGAATAGTGGCCATTAGCTTTGGCAGTTGGCAGGTCGTTGGTGAGTTTGAGTAGGGCAGTTTCAGTGGAGTGTAGGGGACAGAAGCCAGACTGTAGGGGATCAAGGAGGTTGTTGTCGGTGAGGTGGGAACTCAGGCAATTATAGACTAAGCTCTGAAGGAGTTTGGATGTAAATTGCAGCAGGGAGATGGGTCTAAGGTTGTTCAGGTCGGTGGGATCCAGGGAGGGTTTTTTAAGTATGGGGAGTGATGTGCGCGTGCTTCAGAGGGGAGGGTTATGCGCCAGTAAAGAGGGAGAGATTAAAGATGTAAGTGAGGGAGCATAGGATGGAGGAGGAGGGTGAGCGTAGGAGTTGTGTGGGGACAAGGTCAAGGGGCAGGTGGTGAGGCGGGCTTCAGAGAAGACCTTAGTGACCTCTTCAGTGGTAGCAAGGTCGAAGGATTGGAGTGTTGAGGGGGTTTTAGTGTAAGGAATGTTAGGTGGGGTGGAGGTCTGGACAGTGGCGGGGTCGAAGGGCAGGAGTGTTGAGAGGGTTTTCGTGTGAGGGATGCTAGTTGGGTTGGAAGTCTGAGCAGTGGCGATGTCCCTATGAATTGCGTCGATCTTGTTTTTGAAGTGGTTAGCAATCTCGTGGGCAGCAAGTGTGGTACTGGGTGGAGGTGGGGGCGAAGAGAGTAGAGAGTTAAAAATACAGAAGAGCCGGCGAGGACTGGAGGAGAGGGTATTGATGAGGGTTACAAAGTAGGCTTGCTTGGCAGCGTGGAGGGAGGAAGTGTAGGCGAGGAAGGCAGATTTATATCGGGTGAACGCTTGTTGGGATCTGGTTTTGCGCAATAGTCGCTCCAGCGCATGACTGCGTCGTTTGAGATTTTTGGTATGGCCATTCTGCCAGGGTTGAAGTGGTCGGGGTCTAATGCTTTGTGTCATTAGGGGTGCTAAGAGAGAGGGCAGAGAGAGGAAAGGATTTGTTTGTGAGGTTGTGGGGGGTGCAGAGATGAGAGAAAACGAGGTCCAGGGTGTTCCCGTCGGAGTGGGTGGTGGACTGCATACACTGTGCGAGTGCAAAAGAAGAGGTTAAGTGGAGGAGTTGGGATGTAGCCGGGTTATTGATGTTGATAGGGATGTTGAAGTCTCCAAGGATGATGGTGGGTACCTCGGAGAAGAGAAAGAAGGGTAGCCAGGTGGAGAAGTCGTCGAGGAAGCGGGACACGTGTCCAGGAGGCCAATAGTTTACTGCAATCCTCAGAGGGATTGGAGAGAAAAGTCGGATGCAGTGGGCCTCAAAGGAGGAGAAGGATAGAGAGGGGGGTTTGGGAGGACTTGGAAGTGCTCAGCGGTGACAGGAGCATACCAACCCCACCACCTTTTCGACCGCTGGGTCTGGGTGAGTGGGTCCAGATGAGACCTCCATAGGAAAGTGCCACAGGGGAGGTAGAGTCAGTGGCTTGGATCCAGGTTTCAATGATCGCTAGGAGGTTGAGGGAGCGGGAGACAGAGAGGTCGTGGATGGCGGTGAGTTTGTTGTAAACCGATCGGGCGTTCAGGAGTGCACACGAAAAAAGGGGGGGGGTTTGGAGAGCAGAGGGACAGGCATTAGATTGAGGGGGTTGCGGCAGTTTGCGGAAGTAGGAGGTTGCCTTGTGGGTGAGCGAGGTGGTGGAGGACCAAGGTTCGGGGAGATGTCCCCCGTGGTTAGGAGAAGAAGAAGGGTGAGAAAGGTGGCATGGGAGCGGGATGTACAAGAGCGCGTAAGTCTACCAGTGGTGGCGATCGGGTCAGTGGGAGAGTGGAGTAATAAATATATCAGGACTGGTGAACTTTTAGCAGAAATGCAGACTGAGTAAAATAAACTTGTGCAATATACGCAGCATTTATTCAGTTGTATATAGTTTTTCTTTTTAACCCTTTCGCTGCCACTGGAATATGTCATATATCAGCCGCAGTGGTGGGGTCTGCTGCTAGAACATCCGGAATGCATGTCAATGTCACAAGTCAACTGTCAGCCTTCTCATAGAAGGGATCCAGCAGCTGGATCGCTTCCATGGACCTTTCAATTAGGCACCCCCCACTGCACCCCTCTTGTTATGTTTCCCAGGCTTTACTATCCCACCTGCTTGGCAGGTATAGTAGGGGAGACCAGGCAACATCTATTTGTTGATAACCCCTATTTAGTAAGAACTCGGAAGCAACAAGGATATCATCACTTCCGGTTTCTGCTTTCACTGTCTAATAGACCATTAGGGAATAATTTACTAAAACTGGAGAGTGTAAAATCTGGTGCAGCTGTTAATGGTAGCCGATCAGCTTCTAACTTCAACTTGTTCAATTAAGCTTTGACAACAAAAAATGAAAGCTGATTGGTTTCTATGCAGAGCTGCACCAGCTTTTTCACTCTTCATTTTTAGTAAATCAACCCCTTAATATCTGCTCTGAACTCCACTGAAGCTACTGGAGCGCAGATTACACTCCATTAGCTTCTTCCCTGGCAACAATGGCCAGGGGAAGTGACAGCAGAAACCAGAGGGGACTAAATCTTCATTGCTTTTGAGTTATTACTAGCTAAGGAGATCAGCAAAAGGAAGTTTTCTAGTGTCCCTCCTATATACCCGACTCTCATTGTTTCATGGGCATGTGCAATTTTAGCTCTTGGCATGTTGTGTATTTGCTCAGCAAAAACTCATCTTTTATATTTCACATAAAAAAGGCAATATGCAGTGTTTGTGTGCAATAAAATTACCTTTAGTGTATTTTTTACTGAATACTATATTTGATCAACTGCTGCGCCAATATAATGTGACAAAAAATTAGAACTACCACTATTTTATTCTTCAGGGTCTGCTTTCAGAAAATATATAATACTTGGGTATTTTAACTAATTTTCAGACCTAACATTATCATTTTAACATGTGTGCAAAA